CCATTTTTTTTAGGTATGTGTTATGTTTTTTTTTTTTGACTGTTCATCAGTGACGGATAATGTGATTGGTCTATGACTCTTAGGGCGGTCGGGCATCATACATATGGCTTGGTCTACAGAGAGCAGATTGTGGATCAGGTCCGCAAGGCTGCAGAACACTGTGATTGCCTTCAGTGCTTCTTCCTCATTCACTCTATGGGAGGAGGTAAGCTTCTGATGTCTGGCATGTTACCCGTGTTGGTGGTTGAGAAACTTGGGCTGACCTAAGCGTACATTTGTGTGTTTAGGTACTGGTTCGGGGTTAGGCACGTTTGTGTTGAAGCTTCTAGAAGACGAGTTCCCAGAGGTATGTCGGATAGTGACCTCTGTCTACCCGACAGCAGAAGATGATGTCATCACCTCTCCTTACAACAGCATCCTAGCCATGAAAGAACTCACAGAACACGCAGACTGTGTCTTGCCAGTTGATGACAAGGTATCCCTTTCCTGGCATCATAGCTCTCAAACCATATTTGCAGTCATGTATACTCTGATAAAGCAAGTGAAGACACATTGCACCATATTTGACGTCAATGATGCTAAACATTGCTCACATTTCTCATTACCAAACTGGATGGAAAGATAGGAATAATGACTTTAATATCAGTCTGTTCCTCATACAAAACTGTGGTTTCGTGCCTTTGGGAAAGTTGGAATACAAGTCACATGGACTACATTTATTGTACTTTTTTAACCTGTTTATAACTTGACAGACCTTGTCACTGCTGCTTTTCCCAAAATTGTTCCTGTTGTGTTACACATATGAAAGGACGTCATAAAGTTTTGGAACAGCGTGAGGGTCAGTATATATCATGATGATTTCAATTATATATATATTTTTTACCTTTATTGTAGTCTCTGGTTGATATTGTTGGTAAGATACAACACATGTCCAACACTGGCAAACCAGGCTGTACCATCAAGAAGGACTGTACCATCATCTCGGGACAAGGAGGGGTGGTGAAGGTCGAGAAACCTTTTGATGCCATGAACAACATTGTGGCCAATCTACTTCTTAATATTACCAGGTACTAAATGCTTTGTGACAATGGACATTATCTGCTGAGCTATTTTGTTCTGGTTTATAGTCTCAGATTGGTGGATAATTTCTATATGTGTATATGGCTAGTAAGGTCATCACATAAAAATTGGCACTTAAATATTTTTTTAATTGACTGGAAAACATTCTAAAAATAAAAAGCTTAGAAGACATGTAATTAGCCATCTGTTGTCTTTGACTCTTTAAAAAAAAAAAAAGTAAGACATTTTCTCACTAATTTAATTAGATTTTCTCACTAATTTAATTGTATTGAATTAATTTCTCCTCTTGAAGTTCAGCACGGTTTGAGGGCTCTCTCAACATGGATCTGAATGAGATAGCCATGAACCTTGTTCCGTTCCCGCGGTTACACTACCTTTTGTCCAGTCTAACTCCTCTGTACACACTTGCTGATGTCAACATACCACCACGCAGGTTTGTCATTATATACCCGCAGTAATTTTTACCTATTTTCTTATTGTATGCTCTTATACCTGCCTCAAATACCCTGGGTTTGCAAGTTACAAATGCATAAATAATGTTTTGATATTTAAAACATGAAATGTTGAATACTGATATTTGAACTTATTAAAAAAAATTAAAAGATACTTTACATGTGAAATTAAAACCGCCAGTATGTGGCAACAAGTCACTGTTAAGTGAGTCATTGCAATTGAACCGAATCATTTACACGGTTGATTCATTCAATTTTCTGCCTCCATATCTTGAATTATGTGATCATTCTTAATGCATATTAATAGACTGAATCATGCAGTGAAAGAACCACTCTAAAAGCGCACACGCACTAAAGCCCGTGTTGGTCTACTCTAACCAGACTTCATCACGTCGCGTATGCACGCCTCTGTAGGTGTGTTTTGTTTAGCTTTTGCAATAATACTCGATAATGTCATGATGTCTCACGAGTTCAGTATTTGCGCTAAACCTGCGCAGATTTGGCCTGCATGAACTTCCCCAAGAAATTAATGAGTATATATATACATATATATACAAATAAGAAATTACTGATTTGTAGTTCAGGTAGGTGTCTGAATGTTTTTTTTTTTTTGGAAGTCACTCCCTGTCCTCTATATCAGTACTGAGCTTAAAATGATTTAAATTTAAATTTTACTTTTAATTTTCATTCTTTTCAAAATCATGTAAATTCTTAAAATCTGAAAATGCCATATTTATAAATGAATAAATACACTGATCAGCCACAACATTAAAACCACTGACCGGTGAAGTGAATAGCATTGATTATATTGTTACAGTGGCACCTTTAAAAGTTTGGAATATGTTAGACAGCAAGTGAACAGTCCATTCTTGAATTTATTGTATTTAAGCAGTCTTTAAGTTTTTTTTTTTATTATTATTTTAATGATTGTAAAAAAAAATTAAGCATGAGAAACCAGTGCTTATTATAGTGACATTCTGTGTCAAATCGACTGAATTTCAGAAACTTCCCCCGCTCAATATTTTTCTGAAGGAAGATAAACATGTATAGTGATGAATGCCAAAATATTAAATGTCATGGATGTATATTTACTGAGTAATTCACTGTTTTGTAAAGGGTGGTCAAAATGACATTTTCACCTGAGATTTAGAGCCAAATTACAGGAGGGTAAAAATGACTTAAACGTAATGATGCTGCCATCTTTCTATTAATAGATAATAGAAAGATGGCAGCATCATTACGTTTAAGTCATTTTTACCCTCCTGTAATTTGGCTCTAAATCTCAGGTGAAAATGTCATTTTGACCACCCTTTACAAAACAGTGAATTACTCAGTAAATATACATCCATGACATTTAATATTTTGGCATTCAGAGATCGCTAGGTCTATTAGTAACATCAGTTGACTTCAGCAATCTTTGTTGCATTACATGCCAATAGTGACCTTCTTGTTTCCCTCTATCAAGACAATTGCATAGAACAGGGGCTCTCAGCTCTGGCCTCCTGCAGAGTTTAGCTCCAACCTTGATCGAACTCGCCTGCCAGTAACTTTCTAGTGATCCTGAAGACCTTGATTAGCTTGTCCAGACGTATTTGACTAGGGTTGGAGCTAAACTTTACAGGAAAGTGGACCTCAAGGGCCAGAGTTAAGAACCCCTGGCATAGAGCATACATGTAAAAAATATATTGTTTCATGCAACACATTTCTGGTCTCCCACATTTGCATGCATACGAAAGTAAGTCAATGAAACGAAAAGTGTAGTGTGATCGACCCTTCAGAGCTAAACTCTGCAGGACAGTGACCTTCCAAACTGAAGTTAAATAGCTCTGCCACAGAGGGTGCCTGCTCATTACAGGTCCTTGGATAATATTCCCAATTGTCCCCATGCCAACAACCCTGCATGGAAGGGAGAGACTTTATATGGAAAAACCTCTTCATGTGTGTTTGGTCATCACCAACTGGATGCTGTGATGTGTTCTGTAGGCTGGATCAGATGTTCTCAGATGCATTTAGTAAGGAGCATCAGCTAATCAGAGCTGACCCCAAACACAACCTGTATCTGGCCTGTGCTCTTATGCTGCGTGGAAACGTTCAGTTGTCAGATCTGCGCCGGAATATTGAGCGGTTTGTTTCTCCCTTATTTTGAGTTACTCTTGTTTTGTTTATTTTTTTTTCATTATAATATAAATTTTTCTCACTGCATGCCCACTTAATGAATTCTTATAAATAAATTGCACATACGATGTAAAAGATTTTGCAATGCAGACAGCTTCTTTGGTGTGTGTAGATCTTGAGCCGAACTAAAGTTATTAGTCATTGGCAGCTTCAGTGATGGGGAATGCTGGATTTCTGTATATTTTCAGTTTCAATATCCATTTTGTTTTTATTCTACTAACATAAACTAGACTTGGTTTTGATAAGTCTTGGTTTTGCAATGTGTAAAAACAATGGACTTTTGAAACATTGAAACAATGAAACATTGTTTGTTTGTTTTTAAGATAAAAACATATGCACTGACAGGTTGCTTACTGTAAGATGGTTGAATGACAAAAAAAAAGTGCATAGTGACCATGTATTGCAAAAAATATTAGTTTTATTTTCAAAGACTGATAGCGAACTATCCCTTTTAATGCCAGGTGTAAATGATAACGCCTCGACTGACCACTTGTGATCAGATCAATGAAGACTTAAAGGGTTAGTTCACCCAAAAATTAAAATTCTGTCATTAATTACTCACCCTCATGTCGTTTCAAACCCCTAAGACCTCCGTTCATCTTCAGAACTCAAATTAAGATATTTTTGATGGAATCTGAGAGCTGTTTGGCCCTGCATAGACAGCAATACAACTGAAATGTTCCCAAGTCCAGAAACGTAGCAAGGAGATCTGTAAAATAATCCATGTGACATCAGGGGTTCAACCTTAATTTTATGAAGCTACGAGAATACTTTTTGTGCGCAAAAGAAAAAAAAAGCGACTTTATTCAACAATTCGTCTCCTCTGCATCATCCTGGTGCCATTTTGGAGAGTATCAGCTGGACGTAAACAGCGTATGCTGTTTTGTTTTTTTGGGTGAACTAACCCTTTAATACCAGGTGTAAATGGTCATAGAGTACTCTTAATCACAGTACTTCTTATTAGCACAAATTAGGGTAAAATAGGCATTATTAAAACTATATAGATAATTTTTTAGTGCTAATTTTTGTACTTTTTTGTCTTGCATTGCTTTAGACTCCGTCCACCTTTTTACCCATGAATGTCTACTATTTGATACAGACTTTGCATTAGGAGCACTCCTGTGATACTGTAAAATGCTAAGTAGACAGCTTGCAAGATTTTGTAACAGCTTATCTCTGTATGTAATATAAATATATGATCTGTAAATGATCCATGATGATGTACTTGAGTCTCTCTTCATTTTAGAATACAGAATAATCGGTTCTTTTTATTCCCCTAGGCTAAAGCCCACCCTTCCGTTTGTCCCATGGAATCAGGAAGGATGGAAGACTAGTCTGTGTTCAGTCCCTCCTGTGTGTCACTCACATTCTCTTTTGGCTTTAGCCAACAACACTTGCGTGAAATCTACCTTCTTTGAACTAAGGGAGCGTTTTGTGAAGCTCTACCGTAGGAAGGTGTGTGTAGCATAGCATATATATATATATATATGCACAAACTCAAACTTTTGAAATGTCGTGCTCCTCACAGGCTCACTTGCATCACTATCTAGCAGTTGACGGCATGGAGTTGGCTGGATTCAGTGAGGCCTTGTCATCTATCTCGGCTCTAATTGACGAATACACACACCTGGAAAGCCCTCTCATGCCCAACGCTCCCAGACTCACCATCGCCACCTGACTTGTGTATATAATAGACAACGTGATCAAAATTTCTACTTGTACATAAACTAAATAGTTCATATTTTTGGACTAATGTTTTATTGATGTAAAATGTCTCTATTTTAGAGGCATAGAAACATTGGCTCAAATATTGTTGTGAATTTAGTGTGGATTTGTTAGTACTACCTACAGCATAACAGACAATATTGAGTCAAACAGAGTTGAGCTCTATCCCTAAGCAAACCTGCCTGCCTGCAATTTTCAAGTAAGCCCAAAGACTATTTTTTATTCATTTATTTTTGTTTTTCGAGTTGTGTTTGATTAGGGCCAAAACTTAACTCTGCAAGACAGTGGTCCTGAATTGCCCATCTGTGTACAGTACTAGAGGCACATAAATTACACACTTCACCTGTAAAATGTTGTTACTTTTTCTTTCATATAAAAAAGTTAATAAAATAGTCATAATATCAAACAGTGCCTGGATAATGTAGTTTTAATAGAAGAAGAATCACAGATTAATTTGTCATTACACATCAGTAAAACACAAGAAATGCCACTTTATCTTAAACTAGATTAACATACACACTCAATCCTATAGTCTTGGCATTGGCACAGTCAGCACAAAGCCTAAACTTGTGTCCTCATTTAATATGGCTCTGCATTGACCTGTTGACAGATGGTTTGTTTGCAGGTTAGCGCTAGTTGTATTTTTGCTTCAATTTATGCCTTTATAATCAGTTGGTGCAGGGCATCCATAGGTCCCAAAAGTATTATTGACCAGGTCTTGCCTAAGACTCAATGATCAACACCTCTCAAAAGCAATATTTTTGGGTTGCCTGCAAATTGTCATCGTGATCATAATCAGCATGCACACTATTTTTGTTGCAACTGACTTGACGGAAGTTCAGTACTTGAGTAAAAAAATTCACCTTGTATTTCGAATAACTCATTTTAAAGAGATCCTCTTTAGATGAAGCTGTTTGTTGCATTAATTTGCATTCTATTTTTGCACTCTTTCTATAGTAAAATAGCGTACTAGTAGGGTTAAGTTGTCTTGTGTATGGGCTGAATTTGAAAGCAAAAAAGATTCAATCAATATCACTGTCACTTCAGAGTGCACATCCCTAGTAGTAGTAATGATAATATTTTTTATATATATCTAGTGTTACATTGTAATGCTTACAAAAAATCAGAAACAGAAACAACCCAATAAATTCATTAAACATCTTACGCTTTGGGATTTATTACAAGTTGCAAGTCATTCATTTTCGTTGAGCTGACGATTTGTTGTTCAGGAGAGTTCAGCTTTATGCAAATGCACAGCAATGTGCCAGCTACTAGTGGGAGTTCAGACTTCAAGTTTATATGACTCCTGATATAGTTTGTCCTTAGATATTATTTATACTATTATATTATTACTAACTTTCCTGTACTGCACCACATCGCTGTTCTCTTTTGTTGATTAATTCTACAGTTGAGAAAAATATATTCACCATTCATGAATATTCCTGTTTCTGTAGTGACCTTTAGTTGGTTGAGCTTTGCTCAAATAATGGCTAGCATACACATCCTTTTTGAAAAAAAAAAGAAAAAAAACATGGTTGAAATGTATTTATTTGTTTGTTTTACTTTTTCAGAAGTATATGCCATTGCTTAACCTCAGAGCTGATTGTAGCTGATGGTCTTAAATGTCTGTGTTTTCCCACAAGTTCAAAATCTCTACAGGTTCATCACATCCAGGTGAGTACCTGTGACCTGAGAATTTGCTATACATGTATTGAGGAATGTGAGACATGCATTAACATGACTTTGCTTCATTTAAAGGTGCACTAAGCGAATTTTGCCAAACGATGTTGATATTTGAAAGCACCAAAACGAACACGCCCATACCCCAACAGGACCTTGCCCCTATTTTGAAATCTCCGCCCACACGTACGTACACAACCATGGCAACGAAGATGGCGGAATCTGCTATGCCTACCGGCCGAGGGTATGAAGTTGTGTGAAACAAAGCAAAATCAACGTTACTCACCTATCAAGAAGAAACAAAGCAACCTTGGCATCCGATTCCAGGCCTTCCTGCTCCTTGAGTTCTCTCCACCGCTGCAAAGCTGCTCCGATATTTAATTGGGTCCTACCTCTTGCCTGATCATAACAGTTCTTTTTAATGCTTTGTTCCTCCGATATCCCTTCCTCCCCCCTCTTTATCTATAGTCAGTCTGCTAATATCTTCTTGTACACTCACTGAATGCTCCTTTCTCACTATCATTACTAGACTAGACTGCTGATTGGCTGCAAGTGTGTTTTGGGACTCGGTCCGACACTGTGGACAAAAGCATTTTTCAAATATTGCTTAGTACACCTTTGGTAAGTGTTTACAAAAATATCTCCCTGTTCTCTTTACCTGCTGTATTCCAAACAACAGAGTAAAACACTGGTTTTAATGTGTTTATACAGTTGTGCGTTTAGGCCTGAATCATACTCTACTCAAATATGTGAAAGCAGACACATCGATGCATGGATGATTTCATAGGTGCATTCTCTGCATTGACCCAAGGGATGCTTTAGGTGCGTCCCAGTTCATATACTAATGTGGTAGTATAAATAGTGAACACTGAAAATTCTAAATAAAAAAAAGAAAGAAAGAAAATGGTGTACTTTAAATACTTGCATGATGCAGTTGACCGAGAAAAAAAAATGTGTGTAATGTAATGTTGGACACTTCATGCATTCAACTGTCGCAGCTTTAATTAACTCTGATTATGAATGACAAAATAACCTTCATACATTAAAATAAAATTCACAGGCTACACAGTTAAGTACATAGTGTATAAATGCACAGTAAATAATGTGTCTTTCGGGACGCAACTTTTGACTGTCCTTTTTGAAATCAACTACTCATTGTAAAACAACAGTTTGAACTTTGCCATTAGATTTTATAAAAGCATAAAGCTACCTGAATAACAACACCTTTGGATTAATGGCATAGACAGTTGAATGAAACTGTCTTATTCAAGTTCTGAGGTTTATTAGCGCAATAGCGCCTGAACAGACATTAAAGGGTTAGTTCACCCCAAAATGAAAATTCTGTCATTAATTACTCACCCTCATGTCGTTCCAAACCCGTAAGACCTTCGTTCATCTTCGGAACACAAATTAAGATATTTTTGATGAAATGTGAGAGCTCTCAGACCCTGCATAGACAGCAACACAACTGTAATGTTTCCAGGTCCAGAAACGTAGTAAGGACATCGGTAAAACAATCCATGTGACATCAGTGGCTCAACTTCAGTTTTGCGAATCTACGAGAATACTTTTTGAGCGCAAAGAAAACAAAAATAATTTATTTAACAATTCTTCTCCCCCGAGTTATGTCTTCCGCCATTTTGGAGAGTACCCAAGAGCGCAATCGACGTAATCAGTGTTGTTTGCGATCGTCGAAGAAAGCGCTCGCATGAACGTAATCTGCGTAATCAGCATTGTTTACACTTGGGGGAAAGCGTGAGTATGCATTGTGATACTCTCTAAAATGGCGGAAGATGTAACTCGGGGGAGAAGAATTTTTAAATAAATTGTTATTTTTGTTTTCGTTGCGTACAAAAAATATTCTCGTAGCTTTGCAAAACTGAAGTTGAGCCACTGATGTCACATGGACTGTTTTACCGATGTCCTTACTACGTTTCTGGACTTGGGAACATTACAGTTGCGTTGCTGTCTATGCAGGGTCTGAGAGCTCTCACATTTCATCAAAAATATCTTAATTTGTGTTCCGAAGATGAACGAAGGTCTTACGGGTTTGGAACAACATAAGGGTGAGTAATTAATGACAGAATTTTCATTTTTGGGAGAACTATCCCTTTAAGTATTTACTACATGTCCGTAAAATTGAAGTGTGTTGACAAGTTACTTGTCTTTGTTCATATACTTGCATAGAGTATTTCTGGTCATATGCTGTAGCTTACATGAAGCATTGTGTACTTCCTCTTTGTCTGTTTTATATTAAGTGCAGTTCTGAAAACATGTCATTAGCATCATTACACTTCCTCTGGCATACACAGGAAGTGATCCACTGCATCTTCCAGCGTACGTTAGATCCCCCTTTGCAGTGGAACTCTATGTTCATCATTTTGGACTTATTGGGAACGCAGCAGCGCTTGTCTGTGCAGATGCCGCAGTATGTCGGGCGGTGCTTCTTAACGCTGGTACAACCAGACAGCGAGAGCTTCTCTGCTTTAATGGCCTGGAATTTCGGTCTGCAGGTTTTACCTCTTGGCATCTAAGCATGAACGAGGAAAGAAAAAACAATTAATCCCTTTTATGGTTATGATTTTGGGTTCAAAAATAGAACTTTGGAAAAGTTCCAGCTTCATTCATTTCATTCTAATATACCTGCATATCTTTGGGTTTTTTTAACATATGAAATATGTAAGTCTGGGTCAGTCTAACCCTGGGTAAATAGGTTCATAAGATATTTTGTTTGACATTACTCATAATTTATAAACTACAGACTACAGATTTTAGCATAGGATTATAGGAATCTTTTAGGATTTTCAAAATTCGTCTCAGACGACCAAATCGTGGACAAAATCGCACAGTGAGCCAGGCTTTAGTAATTTTGTTCTTTGAACTACATTTTAAAAATAAATGTATATTACTGTTTAATTCATGTATATTAAGATGCTAAGAGTCAAAACTAATGTAGTAGACCTTGCTAGCTGCTAATTAGCTGCAATATTAGCAAAAATGTCATTTCCGCAACATGTCTTTACAGCAACAAATTTAGGTGTTGTTGTAAAGACCTTGTGTTGCTGTAACCGTTAAATGTTACTTAGGGTGTTATTCTACTACCCATCATTAGGGGATACTATGGTTCTCTTATGCTAAGTTTAAATACAGTTAGGTGGTAGAAGAAGAGAGAGCTGTTTGGTAAGAGGAAAGTATGGCTTCCCTCTTGTAGCCTTAGTTTCACTGAGATGTCCTGATTGGGAAACATGTTGTTTTATGCTCAATCAAAATAAGGTCCTTTTTTTATGCATATTCACAGTGTGGCTGTATAAATTGCATTTCATGGTTTTGAGGTTTATTCTAATGTTTGTTAATATGTTGTTTGTAGAAGGACTCCTTTGACCTAGCCTCTTTAGCTGTATCAATGGTGCATTTACTACTGCATGGTACATCTTGAAAATATAAAGGACTCATTTCCCTGCATTGCATCTCCTTACTTTGGGTCATCGAAACTGGATATTAATCACAAGGATAAGAACTATTTACATCTGCCTTTTCTACAAGGTTTCTTCTTTCGCTTTTGGACTGGGACATAAAAGTATAACCATCTTCATTACATGAACATTTCGTGCTCGTATTGTAACTGTTCATTTTGTATATAGACATATTTTTGTATTGGTTTTCTTGGGTCTTTTTGTACAATTGGTTTATGGTATGTTATTTTGCTTTGGGGTTTATTATTGTGAATTTCATTTTTTGTTGTTTTTCTTTTTCATAATATATCTCTGCTAAGAAACGCAGTTGTCTGTTCTATGGTTCAACCTCAACCAGTTTAAGTATTGTGAGAAGCTGGTAGGTAGATCCCTCCCAAAGGAAAAAGACTTTCAGATTTATAACTATAACTCATAGAAGTACGAGTTTGTTATATTGTGTTAGAGACAAGTTCAAGGTTTACTGTATATTAAATTACAAATATTCAGTCTATTGTAAATTATATTTTAACATGACATTTTGTAACCCTAGATGAGACCAAATTCATCAACAATAAGATCAAAGAAATGCAGAGCGGAAATTAGAAAAAACCCCGAGACGAATGCAGAGTATCTGCAGAAGGAAAAAGAACATAAAAAGAGAAAGGAAAAGAGTGTCTCCCAGCTGACAAAAAGAGAGAAAAACCTTTTGATTTCATGGCACTTTAACATTGTGTCCTTACCGACACAAGATGTCATTACCGCAGCTCTGCTTTATTTTATTTTTTCCCATATTTTTATTTGCCA